CTATGTTTCGTGATGGAGATGGTCTTTTGGATCTTCAGTGCATAATTCATCAAAACATGAATAATTTTTTGCTTTTTTCTTTTTAAGAAAGAAAGATACATAATTACAATTAGGTCTGTCTACACTTGAAGCAAAATTCTGTTTTGGAAGGTCTAGTTTGGAATTGATATTACATGATAAAATGAACACAAGTTAGATGAGAAAAAAGTTGTACTCTGTTTTCTATAGAATATGATTCATTTAATGTAAGGCCTATTTAAAAAAAAAAAAAAAAAAAAGGCATTAGCTTCTTTAGACTTTCTGTAGAAGCTCATCATGAGATGATTTAGCATTTGTTGAAGTTAAGAAAGAAAAGGAAGTTTAAGAAACATTTGATTTTGGAGCAGGAACAAGCATAAAAAAAGTATCCCTACCAATAAGTGTTGAGTGTCTCTTGGGAAACATGGGAATGTTGGAATAGTTTCCTTTAACAAGTGACTAGTGAGTCTTGTCTCTCAGAAATTTTTAGTTTTTTTTTTAAAGAAAAGGCAAATTTTATTAATCAAACAATCAAGAAATTACACCGAGGATACTAATCCCCTAGGCAAATTCCCCTTAACCAAGCTAAATCTCTAGCCTTAACTTCACTAGAAACTATATTACAAATTCTACGATACACATCAAAACCTATAATATATATATATATATATATATTTTAAAAAAAAAAAAAAATTATGAAAGTTGTATGACAATATACTTCCTCCGTTTTTTTTAGTTGACACCATTGGGTTTGGCACACAATTTAAGACAAGGAGAGAGAGTGTAAAAAGAGAGGGGTATTGCATGTCTTTATAAGCTAATTGAAAAAGTGAGTGGGGTTCCTTTTTAAGCTAATTGAAAAAGTGAGTGGGAATCCTTTAGTAATAAATCAACCGTGACACTATTTTTTGATGAAGGAGCTAAATTCTTTTTGTAGTTTCCCTCCAAACTTTTTAATGAAAATTTAAATTCACATTTACTTTACAACTTTACAATTCAAAATTGAGGGGATATTTTTACCTACTATAAAAGCATTACAATAACATTAAATTTCCTCCCCAAAAACTACTCCAAAAAAACTTCACAGCACACACATGCACACATTCAGGTCCAATATTCGTGAAGATGTTGATACTACAAATGTCATGGGGGAGGAATTTTCAGTTGAAGAACTGCAAGAACTTGAAGCTGCTACACAATGGCCGGAAGGGGATGCTGATGCACATGATTCCCAGAGTGATGATGATGAGGTACGATTTTGTAGTGAAGCTGAAACTGATAGTGATGATGATAATAATATGAATACAAATGAAACAGAGTTGCATGTTAATGAAGGTAATCCCAACTTAGCTAATAAAAAACCAGAAATGACCAACAAAAAAAGAACTCATTTAGCACAGAGACTAATGGCATTATCTACTGATTGGGATATAAAAAGAGGTGGACTTAAGCAATGTCAGGATGAGTTCAATCTAAGTAGATCAACTGTATGTAGAATGTGGAGAGTTGTAAGAGAACAAGGGAAAAATGGTATTGACCTGATTAATGTTCAACATAAAAAAAACTGGTAGAGTAGGTAGAAAACAAAGAGAATTTGATACTGAAATTTTACTTGCAATCAGCCAAAAACAAAGAATCACCCTTAGAAGCTTTGCAGTAGTATTAGAATGTTGTGTTTCCACTGTCTATAAGCTGCTCAAAAAGGGGATAATCAGGTCACATACCAACTCTATTAGGCCTACAGTTTCAGCTGCACACAAAATACAGAGATTGAAATGGATATTGGGTCTCACTCTTTCTAGATTAGTCACTCAACAATCAACATTTGAGAATTTATCCAATTTTGTGCACATCGACGAGAAGTGGTTTTTTATGAGCAAGAACACACAGAGGTATTACCTACTTGCAGGAGAAGAGGGAGAACAAGAGCCATATAGACATGTGCAGTCCAAAAACTTCATTGAGAAGGTCATGTTTTTAGCAGGGGTTGGATCACCGCTTTTTCAACACAATGGGGAAGTCACTTTTGATGGAAAATTAGGGATTTGAGACATGTGCAGTCCAAGAACAGGGAGAAAGGGACTATTGAAACCAAACCAACACAATCTATCACCAATGCTGTCATTAGAAGGAAGATGATTGATGAATTATTACCAGCAATTAGAGCCCAAGTGGCCAAGTAATGCATGTAAGACAATTTGGATACAACAAGATAATGCGAGGCCACATATATCCCCTAATGATGTTGAGTTTTTAGAAGAAGCAAACAAAGATGGGTTTAGTATGCACTTAATCTGTCAGCCCCCTCAATCCCCGGATTTGAATATTTTGGATTTGGGATTTTTTAGGGCTATACAGTCAATACAACATCAAAAATTCCCAACTAATGTGACTGAACTAGTGAAATCAGTGAAAGAAGCTTATGTAGAGTATGAGCCTAAGAGTCTCAGTTACACTTGGTTACAACTACAGTATGTAATGGTTGAAATACTCAAGGATATGGGCGGGAACAAGTACAAGAACCCACATCATGGTAAGAAAAGACTTGATCGACTTGGCTTGCTTCCTACAACTGTTGACATTTCTAATGAAACTATAGAATCAGCCGTGGATTTTTTGAATGAAGGGTTTGTGGCAGCTCCAGCTACAAATGGTCAAGACTATGAAATGGAAGATGCAATTTAAGTCTCAATTCCGTGTAGTACAAAGACAATCTACACATCTTTTGTAGTACAAGGCTTGATAATTTTTTGCAAGTGGGGATGATTAATTATAGTAGTTGTAGTAGTATTATTACTAGACAATTAACTTGAGAATGACCTTAGAATGTACTCCTAAGATAGGTAAGATCCCACTTTTTATGCAGTACAGATTAACTGGTTTCCTTAAACACATGCTGTACTTTTTTTGTAAAAAACATGGATATATGAATGATTTATGGTACTTTGTTTTTAATTTTTGTATGAGCATAAACGAAACTATACTATCAAAGAGTTATACTCACCAACAAGGACTAAAACTAATTACCAACATGTAATTTCATTTAACCAAACAATTACCAACATGCAAGTTCATTCAATCATCAAATATCCCCATAAATCATACACATAATTATCATTTAAAAGCATAACTTTTTAAGAGGTAAGCTTTTGAAGAAATTAAATTTAAAACAGAAAATTGGAGCAGATACCAATAATGTCACCTACTTTTGGGTGTTTATTTCTTCCTTCTTTTTGAGATATTTTTTTCATCTATGTCACCCAATCTTGAAGGCGATTGAAACAATTTCCTCCTTCTTCTATAAGTGGAAATTGGGTATAAATTATCATCCATACTCAACACCACATCATCTGGTGTTTCAGGGACAACCATTGTGTCTTTGGTATGCCTATCACAAACATACAAACAGGGAACATTACCTGAATCACTCCACGCACGCGGATCAGTGGGAGGAGAAGTAGTATGCTCATCATTGTCCCCTTTAATTGGGGTTTTAGGTGACTCAGAACTCATTAGATTGTTGATATACTTTGAATCAAGGTTCGAAATAGAAAAAGGTTGGATCGAAATATTTTGGTACCAAGTTTCATTCTCCCAAGGAAAAGTCTCAGGCAGAAATTCTGCTAGTGAAGAAGCCGCAATTATCTTCTTCTGCTCCTTTGTAAGAGTATACTCCTTTCCCTTCTTTGAAAGAACAATCGGCTTCCCCTTTTCCATTACAGGAAAAATTTGATTTTTTTTTTTTAATTTTGGAAGGAGAAAAAATTTGAGTTAGATTACCTCAAATTAAGGAAAGATAATTAAAGAGAGTAAGAATTGCATATAGATTTGTGGATTTTCAAAGATATTTGAGGAGAGAGAAAGTGGTAGAATTTTCTAGATGAACTTCAAGAACACAATTAAGAGCTCTGGTAGGAGTTCCCTCAAACAAAAAAAAAAGATGTCTGGGAGGAAGACGTGGGTAAGTGGGTTTATTGCCAACAATCAAAGTAGAGTAGTTAGGTAGGTGGGATGTCATAAAAGAGTAGGGAGTGATTAGTTATAATCAACAATTATATGTTTAAACAAAGGATGTTTAGGATATAATCTGTTTTTTTTTATTAAGGGTAAAATAGGAAATTCACCCTAAAAAACTTACTAAAAAAGGAAGTGTGTCAACTAAATATAAACTTCCCAAAAAGGAATAGGTGTCAACTAAAAAAAAACGGAGGAAGTATATAATAACACTTGTGATAATGTCCATCCATTGTCAAATATACTTATTTTTATCATATATTCATATTATTTTACATCAGATTTGTGTATGAGAACCTCCTTTAAGGAAGGAGAACAGATTTTGTAAGTGTAGGGATGAATGGAGTTACTCCTACACATTCTCAGAATGGGTTGGAGACTAGTGACAAGCATAAACATCACCCCTAAACAAAAGCCATTTGATAAACAACAAAGGAGACTCAACAGGATGAAGGCATGTTAGTAGAGTTACAGTTTAATGCTGATGAGATTGTGGCAGCAATGAAGATCAGTTGATAAAACAGGGTAGCATCATTAATTTACATACTCATTTGGTGACTTCTGACAAGGTACAAGTAGTGTAATACCTCACCCAAGGGGCCAAGGCATCATGGTCGTAAAAGGTACCGCCTTAAGAGGATAGATATCTCAAATGTGCTACCATGCCTACATGGAAGTTTGAACCTTCATTGACAAAATTTTGCAATGATCACAGCACCCCCACCTCAACCTTAGAAATACAGTCATTACCATCAGCTATACTAGTCGGCCGACAGTTAAAAAATTACTCTTCAGCCTCAGTACTTCAATAGCACCTATTCCATCAGCAAACACATTCTCCTACTACCAGGCCATTCATTCCCCTAGCAGGAGCTACTGGGGCAGCCAAGATTCTGATGCAAGGTCTCCTAAATCTAGAAACATTCGTCTCAGAAAAAAAAAAAAAAAAAAAAAACGGGGGAAAGAAATGAAAAGCTAAACAGCAATCTCACCAATATATATAAATGGAAATTCAATGCAACCTATATAAGCTCCTATAATAAAGACAGAAGAGAAGGTGATTAAATAGTTTGTAAGGATAAATAGTGCCGACAAATACAGATAATGAACAAGGTAAGCTGTGGATTTAACGAGTCAAAGCAGACTATCAAGCTATCACCTGTGACAAATGAGTTGTCTTAGTTCCAAGTGAATCTATATGTACAAGTTAACACCCCTCCAGTATTTCAGACTGTCATCTCGGCTTCTCAAAGCAATTATTACAACTCAGCAGCGTGAGAAATCCCTGAACCACCTGAAAGTCTGAAACAGCTTTCTCCCCATTGTTCAGTGCCCGTCTGTTCAATACTTCAATATGATATTGTACATATGACCCGACAAAACCCTAAGACTTCTTCACCACAGGACCTTTATACTGCCCACGCAAAACCACAAAGTTTTCTGGAGGCGGAGTCTCTTCTAACCAAACAATTTCGTCGAGATTTACACCCTCTAGTTGTTGACCAATATCATCTAGCACAAGTCGTGGATACAAGGCATCAGCATTAAGTGATGGGAAACGAGATTTGGTATTAAAGACATGCATGATAAAAAGATCAAATACCCGGCAATCCTTTATCAGGAACTCTCCGGAAATAAGAGCAGTGTCGTCCATCCTCTGAAGAATATGGAGGGGTAAGGATGTCAAAGATGGCACAGGGCGTTATTGCCATAAAACAATGGATGTTGCCACCTTTTGTCGGATACAAAACGGTTGTACTACAAGGAGCTCTCATTTCACAGTCTCTAACCAATTTAGCAGGTCTAGCTGCAAATTTAAACAACATGAAGTTAAAGCCTCAAGGAAGCAATACGATATCCAATAGACAGCAGAATGATAATGCGGAGATCTTTTTAATTCTAAAAGAGACATGAAGTCACAGCAAGAAAACAAGAAGATATTTGTCGCCATAGCAATGGGCTCAAGGTGAACCTTTCATTTGTACATGCATTTTGGTTAATTATATGAAGACCAACCTCGAATCATAACAATACATATTAAAATTGCTAGCAGAACACGACCAAATCAACAGGCCTTAGAATGGAACATTGTTTCAATAAGCAAGATAACAAGGGAAAGGTAAAGAAAGTAGACAACAAAAGATAAGAATTTTTTTTGAAGAAAATTTATCAAGAAATAAACTGCATTGACCCAGCAAGTTTTTCACCGTCTCTAAGTACCCTGAGACACACTATGTTTCCTGAACGGCTGCACACTAGGTAAAATTGCAAATGAGAATGATATTTTTTTTTTTAAAAAAAAAAACAAAAAAAAAAACCCTCTTAGCAAACAATAAATAATAAAACAGCAGAGTAAATGTTTTGGATTCAATCTAATATGTCATGTAATTTGCTAATCAGATGTTGATTTCAATCAGTAATTGGGTATAGCCCATCAAAATTAAGGAATAGGAAAACAGAAAAAGCAGAGTTCCAATCCTCTGCTCTTCATATTCTTTGACCTCCCGAAACTTCAGCGACAACTTAGTAGCAATTTATCAGCTTAATATAGCTCATAAATGATGGAAATTAATTCAAAAGGGCAGGCTCGCATGGGTATATGGGTTTATTGTTGCTTCAATATTCCTGTTTCGTTAATGCTGATACATGAAATGGATTTCGAAAATGAAGACTTTATTTTTCAAGGGAGATGTGTGTGTCTGTGTGTGTTTTGGGGAGGGGGATTTGAGAGGCTTTTGTAGTGTGACATACTGAATGTCTCTAGCCTGTACCTTTTTTTTTTGGGAAAAAATTGTAATTAACTAATTACTACAAAAAAAAAGGCCAATTTTACAAGAAATTCACACAAGATTTGAATCATCAGCAGTAATGATTTAGTATCAAGAAAGTCAATCTCAGCAACTAACAAGTACAATTACACAATTTTTATTAAGTGTAGGGTTTAGTATATGGAGCTTCTCTTAGCAATTCCATTCATATCAATATACTATTACGATGTCAAAGCAGCTGTTTTGGGTCAATTATATCATGTAAAAGTTGACGTTTTGAGGGGTGATATTATATGATATGAGAAAGGGTGATTTCTTAAAATAATTTTACAAACTTCCCATATATTAGTGGAGCACACTTTCCAAGTCATGGGGAGTAATGTATTGATGCTATCAACATTCATACTCAATCTAACCCACAGGTATTACTACGTTGACACAAAAAAATGAATCAGGAAATCTGCAATTACACCAAGCAAGATGATGTACCTCGGCAAGATTCAGGGAGCTCAGGTATGTCAACCCAATCATATGACTTTACAAGTAAGGTGCCATATACAAGCTTGCTTAACACAGTCATTCCAGGATGGTTGTGCAGAGGTATGATTGATGAGGGTGGCATGCAGAAAATTCCTATCTGCGAAAGGAAAAATTCTTGCTTTAGGCATCAAACCACAATCTTGAAACATCACAAGGCTAAAGCAGTTTATTCACAGAAGCTAAGGCAATATACTTACAGAGAATTTTTCACATTCATGTATGTGCAGATACTTTATGGGAGGAGGATACTGCTGCTGGTTGCCACTGCGACCTTTTCTTCCATTGCTTCCATTAGAAATAGGTTTCCATTTTTGCGCTGCTACTGCATCCTGCTCAAGACCCACATTCACAGGCTTTAAGTCATCTGAAAGAGCATTCAATAAAAGTTAGCACCGCCAAATAATGACTGATCAGTATGACATTGGAGCAGAAATTATTTGAATTTAACTCCTTCAAGTACACAAGTTCACTATTCAGGGGAGTATAAGTCCACAGTTCAGACAGCATTGAAAATAGGCGTATGAAATAGGATGAAAGCTAATTCAATAATTAAAATGAAGAATATTACCCACCCACCCACCCCCCTCTCCCCACTTTAATCAAGACCCATTATTTTCAACGAAGTTCCTTTTACAGTTTTACTGTTTTTACTTCCATATTCAACCAGCAGCAAAAAGAAGACAAGTAGCAATACAGATTGGCATATTAGCACTGCATAAATAGACCTGCATATTTTGCTAACAGTCATGTCTGTTTTATATGAATTTTATGGAATTCCTATAAGACAGTGTTGGTCTTTTACATCAGTGATAAACCAAAAGAGAGGACTTTTTATAAAAAAAGACAATACTATGAGCAGAATTTGGCAAGCATCCTTCAATACTAATATTGGCAATGGAAAAGAAATTGACATACGAAAATTTGAACTAGTAAACAGTTTAGTATATAGATTGGATTGATATATTGAACCAAAAACACGTATGCAAGACAGTTATAAAGCTTCAAAGCATGACTATACTAGACGACAATAACTGCAGGTTACTAGATCAAACTGGTCATAAACAGCCTTCTAGATCAAAGGGGAAGTTAGAAAGCAAATAGAAATCAGGCCTCAAAATCAGGGAACATTATTCACAGGAGACAGATATGGATCCTACCCCCACCACCACCTCTTTTTGACAGTCCATAATGACGCTGGGGTGCAAAAGCATGAGTAGCCAATAAAGCAGAGATCATGTGGCAGACACAAGATACATACTTAGGCAGCTTGAGACATGCAAAGTATATCCAACGAAGGCAAACGGCTTACATATAAGGACCTTCAATAACCAAAACATCCTACTCAAACAACTTTTCAAAATTTCAAGTTAGTCAAACTTATCAATATATGTTCACTGAGTCAGCCAAGACCCTTTAACGTATGTCTAGTGAGATTTTTTTATGTAAACTTTTCTTTATACAGATTGATTACACAAGTTCTCAAAAGCAAGTATGAGGTAGGATCCAAGGTCCCCAGCCTTAATATGTCTAGTGGGTTTTCATAATAGGACTTTTTAGCTGATGCCACTTAATGTCAGCAATATTATTTTCTACCACATAAATATATATACACATCAATTTGCTTGGTATTTCTCATCAAAAGACATGTGGTATCAAAGGCCTAAGGAGTTCAAAAGCTTGGGAAAAAAAAAACTGCCATGAAATACAACAACAATTACCAGTTTTACCACCAGTGAAATATTTAGGAGGAAATCACAATTACACACTCATATAAATGAAGCGCTTATTAATAGAACAATCTGGTAGAGAACATATAGTGTATAAATAACGATGCAAGAAAGGCCAATGCAAGACAAGTAAACAGGATTTAATCCAAAAAAAATTTTTGGGAAATGTTGCAAAGAACAATTAAAATCAGAAAAAGATACTCTGTATAAACATACAACAGGCCAAGAAAGGACATCTAAACCATGTTGGAGCAATCTACTTCCTCCGTTTCTATTTACTTGCAACACAACCTTGTGGCACGCGCTTTGAGGTAAAGAATTTATAATGTAAACGGATAAATTATTTAAAATAATTTTTATACATGATACCTAACCCTACTCTAATCCTCACGTTAAAAAAATTTGATAAAATCGCTTGTTTACCTCAACTAATCATCTCCTAAAACTGTGTGCCTAAAAGGTGTGTTGCAAGTAAAGAAACGAAGGAAGTATATTATTATTTCAAAGTGGGGGTTAAGAAGAGGAGAGCCAACCTCAAATACTCCCCTCTCGAAGTGTCTTCTCATTTGTCACATCGTATCACATAATAAGTAACAAAATCTAATACACTTTTGGTAACATATCAATTAAGAGAGAAAAAAAAAAGGAAATTATCTTCAATAAATATCAATCAAGCACTAAATATTTTCAGAAATTTTAATATTATTTTCCTTTGCAAATTGATCCATCCCGTGAATTGGCACGGGTGCATTGTAGTTAAAATAATTCAAAGGGTTAGAACCAAAATGGAGATAGGACAAACACTAGAAAAATAGAGGGGAGAAGATATAACCAAAGAAATCAAGCTCCTTAACCAAGTATATTCATTAATATATGGAGTATATTTTGCAGAAGTGTAGTAGATGAAAAGATCAAACAGCATAATTAAGATTAAAAGAGAACTTCTCGCACACTGCTTAGGATGTCTTAACCATGAGCAAAGTAGAATTTATTTAAAAAAAGATTTAGGAGCAATGAACAAGATTTTATGAGGTATCCCCTCTTAATTTCATTAAAGTCCTATTTATTCACTTTTAATCAATTGAACCCCAATATCATCTTTATTTTCATTCATTACAAATCAACCAAACCTTACAATTTTACTTTTTATATTCACTCTTAATCAACCAAACCCTATTAATCAACTAAACCCCACTATCTTATTTCTTTTTTCACCTTCCAAAAATATTCTACAGACGGAAAATTGGACTTTTATTAGGAGATGAAGAGAAAACCATTGTTTTCCTAAGTTCTACAAAGTTACTATAGCAACGAAAACCAAGAACTTAAGGGGAACCACCATTGTTACTTTCAGGATGAGCGAGATAAACTTATAAAATATAATAGTGTCCCATATGATAGGATAGAATATGAATATGTAGTAGATTGTCATGAAGGGAATAAACTAAAAGTAAATAGAAAAGAAAAATGGATGAAGACAAAAGTGAATTGAACTGTAGAAAACAAAAGGTAGTATATATTAAGTTGAACTTGATAGGGACATAGCTCATGAATTTGGTAGATGAAGCAACAATTACCATGACCCATTTCTTTTTGGTGTTTTCAAAGTATTGCTTACTTAATTGGACAAAAAAGAGACACTTTACACCCATCACTAATTACATTCGCTCTATAATAAGATAGTTTGTTGCGACATTTTCTTCCAAAATCTTCTCTAACTTGTAACTCTTTGAATCACCTCAAAAAAGCTTGCACCGAACACTTCCTCTATTTATTATACTTCCAACACACCTTCTTGCCACATTATTAGGGAAAGTGATTAGAAAAGGTAAATGGATGAATTAATCCAAAAAAATGTACACAGTGAAAGCTTAATACTTTCTTCTTATCGGCAGTAAAAAAAATATTTAATTAATTTGTTCGTTTACCTAGTCAAATAACTTTCTTAGATTATGTGCCAAAATGGTGTGTTGCAAGTAAAAAGAAATGAAGGAAGTACCAAACACTGCAGCAGGGGCATGGATACCTAACAGTTCTCTATGGAAAAAATCTTGCAAGATTCTCATGAGATGGCAAAATGCGAAATCTAGAGAGACACTAAATAGTAGCAACCATATCTAGGCAATGTAGCCAAGCCAATATTTGTTAACTGAAGAAACTAAAGGAGAATAAAATTGAATAAAGCACGGTCTACCTACAAACCTAGAAAACATATACTGACATGTATATAAGGACAGAAGCTCCAAGGAAGGTATGTTGATAATTCTTCGTTCTCCATCTAATACAGAATTATTTGTTTCACATTATTTAGTATGTATGCATGTTAACACTATAAAGGACAAAGCTCTTAAAAAAGTTTTCATATTAATCTCATTTTCGCATTTATTTAAGTTATTCTAGAAATTAATTTCATAGGAGTCCATTCAGCTAATTTAGGCTAAAAGATTACATACATTTGGTAAGTTACTTATATTAAGTAACACCATAAGACAAACACTATGCAATCCTTTCACAGTCATCAATTCCTTTGAAAATTATGCACATATCAGTGCTCAAAGCCTCAAACCATGGACCTATAGGTGGTAACAAGCTCTAAGCAACCAAACTTCAGGTTTAAGTGGCTTGATTACTATAAGCCATCATATATGTATTATAATTCAGAATGAATTCTCACATGAATAATTGTTTATTTGTCCAACCAAACTTCAAATTCAACTGACATTTTTATTTAGTAGCCTTGCAAGGTTTATATATTAGTTCATTTTTTTTTTCATATATCTTGACTCCATTTCAGCTGCGATTCTGTTTTTCCATTTCAAAATCCTAGCAACTCAAATCATCTTTATTGAGGTGCAGTTTGCAACAAATCCACAGAGATAGATCCCAAGCTTCAAAATACTCTTTTGGGCCTTCAATGTATGCCAGACAAATAATTACAAATCATCTATGCTATTCTCATATGTCCAAAATGCTGATAATTGAGCAAGTATGAGAATCTAATTTGGGCTTCACTGCCTCAAAGTATCAAAAAGGAAGTCTGACCAAAGGTTGAGAGCACCTTTCGTATCGTTAGCCCAAATGATTCACAAGATAAAATTGTCATCTACTTGACAAAGATTTAATACAAGCAATGTAAAGCACATGCTGTATTCTTTCTCAGGACTAAAATTCAATCCAAAGTAGGCAGTATTACCGTAAAATCATATAATATACATAGGTTCTACAGTCTACATACAAGATTAAGGAGGCAATAAGACGCGCAGCTAAAGTGCAGAAGTATTTTTACAGGATTCCAATGCCCAGAATTGAAAGCTGTAGAACAGATTTTGCATGACCAACATGAATATCTCCAAGAATATCAAGACTTTTCAAATAGTGGGAAATGACAGGATGGCTGCACTTAGACTAGACAGGTGTTCAAAGTAACTTGCTTAAAAGTATATCAGATGCTAAACTCAAGCTACTAGGAAAAAGCATTATCTTTAGCAGCAGTTCAATAGAATGGTGAAGGGAAACAAAGATGTAGCAACTGACACTCTGATTCAGTATTAGCTATATCAAGTTTTAACAACGCAACAAATTACAAATTCAATTACAGTGACAGACGTAAAGTAATATATGCTCCTCAAAACAATATCCAAGTAAAAATCAAAATGTTGCTGCCATGCCAAAATTGTTATCTACCTTGGAAAACTCCAACCATGTTCAGTACCTAATGAGCACATGGGGGCGGGGGCAAACTATATCAACTGATCACAAGGCATAAAATTTCTTAAAATTGATTTAAAAGTGATTCGCGAACCTAAAATTGCACGAACTTTATCAAGAGCCTCCTCAGAGATTGGACCGGTAGGTGTGAATGAATCCTTGCAAGCATTGTATATTTTCTTCATAACAGGCATGATGTGGTCGGGCTTAAGCCAAAAAACAGCCCACCACTCACAAGATTGAACACCAAACACCAAAAAGATGTGATTTTTATCGATCACTTCAAGAAAGAAAATGCATGAATATATGTCCTGCAGTAAATCATAGTCTAATTATTAGCAAGATACATCCCAACTCAAAAACAATCAATTAAGCAAAAAAAAAAAAAGGGTGCGTGTACAATACTTAATCAATAGCTAGCAAGAAATCACCTCAATTTCTACCTAATTTCATTATTGGACGGCTTATCACAAAAGGGGTTCATCTTAATTTTTTCCTAAAAAGTGAAAATAATAGAATCTCAATTGATTTTCAGAAACCCTAACAAAAAAAAATAAAAATATAATTAAAAAAACGCAATTTCAAAATATTAACAATCAAATTTCACATTCATAAGAAAAAAAACCCAGAACCCAATAACCCCAATTATTCAAACACAATCATAAACTGTAAGCAATTAAACGAAATGGATTGATTCATAAATTAGATCAGAAAATACAACAAAAAAAAAATACCTGTTGATAGGATGACCAAGAAAAGAAAGAGGGGTTTGTTAATAGTTAACTATAAACTCTATAATTTGTGTGAAAAAGAAGAAAGAAGAGAGAATATATGTCAGGGAAGAAGAACAGCCATAGCAAGAAGAAGAATGATGAAATTTAGGAGAGAGAAAGAGAGAGGTGCCTGGTCTGCCCAGACCCGGAGCCAAAAAGGGATGCACCTCTTGTCTAATTTGGTTGGTTTCCTAAAGTTTGGATTTTGTTGTAAAAATTGATTAGTTTAATTGAAATGGTATGCTCCTTTTTGGGCTGGTGTCTAAACAACAGATGCCAGGAGATGAATCTGGTTGTTTTGTTTTCCAATTTCAAGTACATACTAGTTTGATGTGATGAGGATAAAGTGGTAAGGTGTAACCTTTTTTAGGGGTATATATTGAAATAACATGTCGTATATTACCCGAGTTAATCACCTACTTTCGTAATGTGGTTTAAGATTTACGGTACCGGTTTAAAATTTATGATAGTATATAATGATATCATTATTACTCTTTACTATCATCTCATAGTTACTAACTTACTCTATATTCCATCAAAGGAAATGGTTTACGTACATGTGAACACCTAAAAATGTTCAATCCCTATCCTTATGTATGTTTAACTATTGTCTTGTTGATTGTTAATTAGTCAATATTCCAAAAATGGGCTAACGAATTGCTTAAAACTCTTTTAGACCATCAAAAAGCATTACAAACCTTCAATCACAGTCCAACATGTCCTAACCCTACTTTAAAAAGGCCCATAATGCCAAAATAGGTGTAGATCAAGCCCAAAAAACAAATAAACAAACGGAGGGAGTATTATTAGAGTCTCTTTTCTAACATTTATTACTCACATAATAAAGAGAAAGGGGACTCTAATAAAAAACGGAGGGAGTATTATATTGGTTATGAAATTTAAATGAATGGTTAGTCCTTCAAATAAACAAACTTCTCATTATAATAACTAGTCTTTATTTGCACACGATTCGTGTATGAACATATAACATATAAATATCAAAATTGATTTAAACATTATATAAAAATACTCTAATATTAGGTAATTATTATTCTGTTGATGAAAATTTTGATTAATGGATGGAATAATTTTACTATAATAGGGAACTTATAATTTGGTTTTATGGGTTGATTGATTTTTTTAAATGCATTGATCGTGGGTTGATGAAATTACGAGGATTGATTGAAGATTATTTAGTAAATCATGCATAATCTTATGAGATCAATTAATCGAAGATTGAATTGATTGATTGAATCAATTAAGGGCATAATTGATTGATGATTAATGAATGAATGGTAAAAAATGTAGAACTATTTTTTAACCACTTTTAAGTCTGAGCCAAGAGGGGTATTAAAGTCTTTTCATGGTGACGCTATAGGCCCACAACCTTCCCCCTCGACTTATATAATAGAGAAACAATCCAAATTTTATTTATAACAAAGAAAAATGAATAAAATATTATAATTTGTCTCAAATAAGTCCGATAATATTGGTGTGAGACTAAAGTTCTATTCTCTTGCGTTGAATCGGGTTGAAATGAATTGATATATTAAATTAAAACATAGATATAACAAAGTAGTAGTAGTAATTAATTTAAAAAGTACATACCTAAATGGATTGGAAACTTATATAAATTTCCATAGTTTTTCTATGATATACGTAGTCTTTAGGTCTTGTTCTCTTTACTTTATTTTTGCTGAATTAAAATTATTTCTGCTGAATTAAAATTATTTTTACTGAATTTAAATTATATTTATGGAAGTTCAATTATATCTGCTGAACTTTAATTGTCTTTGTTTTTATTGAGTTAAAATCACTAATTAGATTATATTGTTATTGATTATCTATTATATATGTTCTGTGAAATTTTAGTAATTTTTAATATATAAGTATAGATATAGATTAAAACTTATTTTTACTTAAGCTAAGTGTATTAATTGAACTAGGTCTTATAAGTTTTATTTATAATTCATGTGTCACCTTTTTAGCAGCTTGTAGACACCTAAAAATGTCTCCCCAAAACCAAACCCGTTGATGAACACCTGTCACCGCCATTATTGGTCTAGTTGAGTATTTAATATTTGGAGTGCTTAAATCCATGTTCTATCCAACATATTTCATGAACCAATCCAATTTCTAGCTCATTTCCCTAAACCATAACCTATTTTCCACTTTTCGTGTCCACATCGCAAAACTGAGAGAAACTGATTTTATGGATATATAATTTTGATCCAATTATTATTTTTTTGGACAGGCCTTTAAATAATCTTTCCAACCATATTTCATAAGCCCAATTCCGAGCTATAACGAAAAAAATATGAGCAAAACACTAAACTCGGCCTAAAACCGAAACCCTTCCACTAAAACGACCATATCTTAAAATATACATATAATTGGGTTGAAAAGTAGACTTGATAAGCTTTCCAATGTTATATTATATGCCTTATTCCGAGTTACGGATCAAAAGTTATGATTATTTTAAAAACGGGTAAAAAACTGAAATTACCGCACAACAGCAAAAATGCCGCGACACGGCAAAAGCTGACGTGTCACGGGACTTATTCCCGTGACACGGTGCCCATTTTTGTAATTTTGCTCAATTTTCCCCCGTGTCACGGGATATTTCACCGTGTCACGGTGCAATTTCCCGTGTCACGGTGCCCATTCCTTGACACGGGAATATTCCGTGTAATTTCCGCGTACTTTAAACATCGTGACACGGCATACTGCACTGTGCCACGGTGGACAATGCTGTGTCACGGCATTTCTTCCCGTGTCACAGTGCACATCCCGTGCCACGGGATTGCTCCGTGTTTTCTCCGCGTAATCCCTAAACGCGTTTTCACTTCCCGTAACCTAAATATTTCCCGTGTCACGCAAATTTGTACCGTGTCACGGGAAAGTTTCCCGTCTGACGGTGGGATTTCCCGTGTCACGGTACACTTTTCCATGTCGCGGGATATTTTTTAGGGTTTTTATCATTTTAGGGTTTCGTGTGCTCCCTCAGCACATTTTCCCTATAAATAGGACCCCCCTTTCTGCAGTTCGGGGCACCAATAATCATTCTCTCTCACCTTACACCAAAAATCATTCTCTTCTCCCTCTTTAACCTAATTTCTAGCCTCATTATTCTTCCATAATAATTTCCCTAAGCACTCCAAGGAGTCTATACTTAACCCGAGGTTCCGTCCTTAAACCAAGGCGTGAAAGGTACAAATAACTGAGGGTTTGGACCAAATTAACTCTACTTTTTATTTAATTTAATTTAATAATTTTAATTTGATTTATATTTTTATTGAAGTTACTAACAGTTTATTCATGATGTACACTAATACAAAAAAGGCAAAAGAGACCCGTTGTAAATGGCATAAGAGACCTCTTTAGAGGAGGTCTCTAGCTCACAGGTCTCTTTGATAAAGAGACCTGTTCTATTGAACAGGTCTCTTTGAAATAAATAAGAGACCTGTTAACTAAGGTAACAGGTCTTGATTAGGGGATTTTTCCCCACCAATCACCATCTGACAAGTGGACCAATCAGGTTCCGCCATGTGTCCGTCACATAGGCCAATAGGAGCCTGCCACGTGTCAAGCAATGATCCGTCCACTATGGACCAATTACGACACGACACGTGTCCTTCCCATGACACCTGGGATAACCGGTCACCAAGGCCCAACTTTCGAGGGAAGCCCAATCAGCCCAAGGTTAACCTAAACCTAGATTGGCACGTTTCCCGAGGTTATAAATACCTCCCTTAATCCTCATTAAGGGAGGGGGAACGCAGATTACACACATTAAACTCTCACACCTAGAGAGACCCAATCACTTTAATTTCCGCATTAATTACTCCTTAATCAAGTACTAACTTGACCGTCGGAGGCGGATCTCCAATCATCCGGAGCATCCGTTTGTTTTGCAGGTACAGGCGTCCGGTTCCGGTCTCGGAATTGTAACTCTCCCGCAGGACATCAGAAAATCCCGAAACATCTTGGCGCCTGGCATTAGACTCACTTCCTAAAAGGAGGGGCAATGCTGTCTTGCGCCATGAAATTTACCGCCTGAGAATGACTAGATCATACAACAAAAAAGTACACAGGCGTCCACTCAAAGTGAGGGACTTTGTACTTAGAAAAATGGAAGCAGTTGGAAGGGCTAATGAGTCTGGCAAACTAACTCCCAACTAGGAAGGACCCTACCGAATCTGTGAAGAGGTCAGGGACGGTACCTACCGTCTGGGAACACCAGACGGACAACCGTTACCTCGAACTTGGAATGTAGATAATTTTAAGAAATATTTCTTTTGAATGATGTAAATAGTCAAGGGCTACTTAATAAAAGTTTGCATACTTAATATTCAATTTTGTACTAAGAGGGGCACGCCTACTAACAAACGGTCGGCTACTCTCCATACTCAGTTTTTATTCTTACTTAAGAGGGGCATGCCGTCTGTACCTTTACAGTCGGCTACTCTCCATTGAGTATTTTACTCTATCTTCAGAGGGGCATGCCGCCTGTACCTTTACAGTCGGCTACTCTCCATTGAATATTTTACTCTATCACCATAGGGGCATGCCGTCTGGACATATAGTTGGCTACTCTCCATAGAAGAGGGCCGACTGGTTCCAAACACACAGCCACCCCCCTTATACTTAACTAAAAATGATCAGGGCCTGGCCGACCCTGTGCCTAAATAGGCGACTACCCTCCTTTTACTTAGCACCTACGTTCACCAAGAACTAACCAAGGTCACAGGCCGAATGATCAGACCAGGCGCCAAGCCAACTGATCCAATCTTCAAAACTAATACGACCTGTACCAACATCATAGCAGGCGTCCGGCGGCATCCCTCCGGATGAAATTCGTCGCAGAGAGCAGCTCCCTTTTGGGTGGAACATTGCTCTATAAACTAATTACACGACACCTATACGACTGACCCCAAGGGCAACCACGTAGCCGTTTTTTAGACAAGGATAACTCTATCACTAACCAAACCAGTGGTAGCAGTTGGCATCTGAGTCAGATGACCGCCTGTATTACTTGGGATAAATGCAGGGGGTACCTCTTGAGTTAATAGCCAACAAACATTGGCGAATCAAAAGGTTCAGCCGGCCTCCGCCGCCTGGTACCTTTACTACTCAAGCAGGAGTGACGGCGACTGAGTAACACCAAAGTTAACTCGTAGTCACTCTCTCAAACTTAGTATGGAGCCTAAAAGGTGTGAGTCGTCCGCCTGTTTTTAGCAAACAGGGGCTCTCAACCACTACTCCTGCTAAGTTAACAA